AAACCCTCAAAGGGTTAATTTCCATACTAATTCTCACCCTTTTTACCACAGGGTTGGCACTAGAAGCTTTCTTGGGGCCCATGTGACTTATTTTGCAGAAACAAGCACCAAACACAGTGATAATATGGATAATATGGAATGTACCGAATGTATCCTTAGATGCGCGCACACTGGCTGGCTTGTAAACACTGGCACACACGGGGCAGTTCTGGCCACACATGGACAGGTCTCGTACGAATCGTATCAGATACCAGGTTTTCAATCGAATACAGAGGAAAATTTTTTGCGATATAATGCATCGAATACCGGATTTATCGAATACCGATGCCAATGAATACCGGGTGTCCACTGTATTCAAGTACCAAGGAACAACACCTGCAACAGTCCGCCCACTAAATTATCAACAACTACCTTCTCGTCTGAAGCATGGTGATCACTTCCTTATACAACTGCCTGCTACTGCTTTCAAGAAAAAGGCTCAGAAGAGGTGTTACATCTGTGCACATACAAAAAAACGCCCACAACAACGCAGAGACACTCGTTTTGTGTGTGAGGAGTGTAAAACACCACCGTGCATGACACCATGTTTCAAAGACTTCCACAGGCTGCAGAACTTCTAGAAACATTCCCTGTGACTGTATGTGTGTATATAAAATATAGAAAAATAGTAATAAACAACATTTTATATCGTTTGTGTGGGTAAACAACAATTATAAACAATATAAGGACAACAGTGTTTGTGGAGTTATTGTGTAGTAAATAAAGAGAAAAAAATTATAAAATAGTGCTAATATTGGTCTCACAGGCCATAAAAGTTACTTGGAAAAAAAAATTAAAAAATAACAGAAAATAGTACCTAAAAAACAAAAACAAATACAATACCAGGTGACGGCAGTCGGCGATGATACCATATATCGGGCATTTTGTGTAAACTTCACGCCTCCATATCTCGGTAAGTATTGATGGTAAAAAAAATTTGTTTAGCCTATAATGTTTAGAAAAAAAAAAAACTCTTTTCGTAAGAAAAAACAATTTTTTTTTTTTTTGAAATTTGGCTGACCCTGAGAACAAGTCTCTGAGAGGGCCTGTGGACCCTGAAAGGGTTAAAAATCTTGATACAGTAAAAAAACTTTTAATAAAGAATTCCCCCAAAAATGCTGACAGATGTGTCTATAAGATTCCTTGTAAAATTTATGATAAAGTTTATTACGGTCAAACTGGTAAAAGTCTCGAACTAAGATTAAAACAACATTAATACAGCATTAGAACTGGACGAGATTCTAATGCTCTATTTATTCATGCGAGAAATTTTAACCCTTCAATTGATTTTCAAAAAGTTGACAAGCTGAAACAAGCAAGCCCCATGTCAACAGGAATAAAAAGGATATGAAAACAGTTAGACAACTTAATTCCGAAACGTTTTCGCCTACACAGTAGGCTTCTTCATCGAATACAGAAAGTAGGCGGAACGGGTAGAGATGTGAAGACGAGGGAACAGTCCTTTCCCCCTTTGAAGTCGAGAATTTGAAGTTGTCATCCCTCGGCCTGAAAGTTCAGTTCCATAGCCAGGAACATCTGAAGATCAAGCGACAGTGCGGAACTTAAAATACTGTCGGAAGGAGAGGTGCAGGCAGAAAGTAGTAGTAGTAGTAGTAGTGTAAAGAGGTAACTGAGAGTCATGTCCCCCCTCAGATAAAACCCTTTCCCTCACTTGAAAAGCTTGTCAAAGGTGTTTTCCTGTACCAAGATCCCACGTGTTGCAGTGTCCTGACAGATAAACATCAAAATGTAACAATACCAACAGGTTGTTAGTAAACACATATGCAAACAGTTAGACAACTTTATTCCGAACGTTTCGCCTACACAGTAGGCTTCTTCAAGTCAATACAGAAAGTAGGCAGGAACAGTGAGATGTGAAAGAGTAACATCCACACCCTTGAAGTCGTAGAATTTGGGGTTTGTCAGTCCCTCGGCCTGGAGAAGTTCAGTTCCATAGTCAGGAACTATCTGAAGATCAAGCGACAGTGCGGAGACTTAAATACTGTCGGAAGGAGAGGTGCAGGGCAGTAGTAGTAGTAGTAGTAGTAGTGAGAGGTAACTGAGAGGTCATGTCCCTCTCAGATCCAACCCTTCTCACTTGAAAAGCTTGTCTGTATTCGACTGAAGAAGCCTACTGTGTAGGCGAAACGTTTCGGAATAAAGTTGTCTAACTGTTGCATATGTGTCTTACCTAACAACCTGTCGGTATTGTATACCATTTTGATGTTCAGGAATATAATTGAATTATGTTTCATAAAAAGCAGTTTTGAAAATTATATGAATATTTCCTTTGGTTTATATAAATTAGATTCATTTATAATTAATAAAATTTGGGAAGAATTTAATAATACATTAAACAAATAGTAAGTCTAAATTCTTGGGTAGAGTACTAGGGTTGGGCAAATATTTTGTTATTGGGATGGATTGCAAAGGACCTGCCTAGTATGGGCCAACGGACCTGCTGGAATGTTCCTCCTTTCTTATGAGTCAGGTGTCATTACGCGTCAGGTGTTTCTTTGTTGTGGGATGTGATGGTGAGGTGTAGTCTTGACCCTTTATATGCCTTCCTGTGATGTACTGTATTTGTAGTTCCTTGATAATGTGAGAAGTCACGAAAGCGCTCGGAATTTCACTATTCATTCACAGTGGTTTTTGTGCAATATTTAGGTACACATACTGGTCAGAGAGCCCGTTGTAAGTCTGAGTCATCGGTAAACAAGTACGTCGCAAAGCGAGAAGAGGCTGTAGTATTTTATACAGATAAAGTGTAAAACTAAAACATAAGCCCATTTATCAAATTTTGGGTAATCTTACCTAGCTTCCTTGAGCTCTCATTTGTACTGTATATACAGTGGTAGTGAAAGTGTTTATTTTATTCTTGGGTCACTCTACTTTGGTGGGAGACAGCTAGTGTGTATAAAACTAAATAAAGAACTTGAGTAAATGCAATTATTAATTAATCATAATAACTCACTGGAGGATTAATAACTCAAGAAAATCAATCAGTCTCCTTTTGCTGTATATATGTCTTTTTATTAGTGAGCTAGAGCTTGCCTCAACCATCTTGGCATGATATTCATCTAAAAAAATCTGCATTTGTGGTCACAGTAGGACACAGTCTAATCTTTGCAGAATATATAAATATACCTGGAGGGATGAATCTTATTAGGCTGGCAAGATACAGTGGTTAGTACACTGGCCTGCTAGTTTAGAACTGGCTTGGCATGGATTCAAACTTCACCCATTCTGTGTCTTATTTCCATTGGGTTCTTTTGGTTCTTGACCCCAGGATGTGACCCACAGGCCACAACAGTCAGCTAACACCCAGGTAGACTACCTATTTGCTGCTCGGTGAACTTACTTGCCCAACATCTTCACCTGTCCCAGGATTAAACCCAGGTACTTGGGTGTGAGTCTAATGTATTATTCAACACTATCTGGCAATGTGACATTTAAATTATAAAAATAACTATCTTTAAAACTTTATTATTATTATTATTATTATTATTATTATTATTGTTGTTGTTGTTGTTGTTGTTGTTGTTTAAGGCAATACGTAAGTAAATTTATTTAAGAACAGTTACACGTAAGTACAGCAAATTTAGGTGATTACATTATTATAATAAAAAAGAAGCAGTAACCCACTAGGGTCATACAGTGCTGGCAATAGGCTATTACAATAATTATACACGGTAACACAGAACAATACTGGCCAAAACTTGGGTCTAAGTTTCGGCCAATTGTATATTGTTCTTTGCTTTAAAAAACACTTGTTTCTGAGGTTGCACTGATAAGTAATGTGTAAATTACCTAGGATAACGCCAAAAAGTCTGTATGATCCCAAAGAACCATACAGTACCAGGAGACTGCAAGACAATTAGGTTTAATCCAAGACAGTGGTAAGATTATCATCATTATTATAATCTAAAAGAAGTGCTAAACCCATTACGGTCATACAGCAACAGTGATAAAATAAAAAGCCAATTACCAAGCCCATGATGACACTCTTCAGGTCGTTTGTTCTATCTAGGCTGGAATATTGCTGCACACTAACAGCACCTTTCAAGGCAGGTGAAATTGCTGACCTAGAAAATGTACAGAGAACCTTCACAGCACGCATAACGGAGATAAAACACCTCAATTACTGGGAGCGCTTGAGGTTCCTGAACCTGTTATCCCTGGAACGCAGGCGGGAGAGATACATGATTATATACAACTGGAAAATCCTAGAGGGACTAGTACCGAACTTGCACACGAAAATCACTCACTACGAAAGCAAAAGACTTGGCAGACGATGCAACATCCCCCCAATGAAAAGCAGGGGTGTCACTAGCACGTTAAGAGACCATACAATAAGTGTCAGGGGCCCGAGACTGTTCAACTGCCTCCCAGCATACATAAGGGGGATTACCAACAGACCCCTGGCAGTCTTCAAGCTGGCACTGGACAAGCACCTAAAGTCGGTTCCTGACCAGCCGGGCTGTGGCTCGTACGTTGGTTTGTGTGCAGCCAGCAGTAACAGCCTGGTTGATCAGGCTCTGATCCACCAGGAGGCCTGGTCACAGACCGGGCCGCGGGGGCGTTGACCCCCGGAACTCTCTCCAGGTAAACTCCAGGTTACCAGCATTATTACTATTATTACATTCATGGGGAAAGCTAAACACAGAGGGGCCATACAGCACCCGGCGAATAAGAGACAATCAGGTTTGAAACAAAGCAGAGAGCAGCTCCAATTCCGCAGATCAAGAGCCACTCACTGGGTGTGCTGCAGTTTAACATGGGGGAGGGAGGGCACAACCCGTAGAGGTCATACAGCACCTGGGGAATGCAAGTCATTCAAGTTTGATTCAAGGAAGGGGAGCACAGGTCCATTTTCTTGGATCAAGAGCTCCTCGCCGGCATCAAGGCATTTCACTTTATAAGCAATAAAAGGCTAAGAAGTTTAGCAATTTCTGTCCCACCTGTCAGAGCTGTTTATGCTGTCAAAGAGGGCATTGAGCTCCAAATTTTTAGGCAAGCCATGAAGCCGCGAGGTCGTTAATGGCATGAGCGTCGCCTTCAAGTTTATCAGCTGCTTCTTGGGGTCATCAGAGAGAGATAACTCACTCAACAACCTTATAACTTCGTTCATCGTGCCGGCCATCTTGGCAGCCATCACCTCTAACACTGACGATTATAAAATTTGTAAAGTTTTAAAAAAATTTTACTAACTTTAAGAAACTCTATATAAGCAAAACGTTAGTATATTCCACATTGTACATAAATCTGTATACAAATATAATACTTATAGTTCTTTGGCTCCAACATTCTCAGCAATATAATAAGTCGGTTCTTTTAGAGGCAGATCACCCGGGGATGTAAACATTGACATTTTTAACATTTAAAAGTTTTTTTTAATTTTTCCCGCTATATTATACCTTGACTTTATAATGTACCATTATATAATCTTACTATTATTAGTTTGATACCATTATTATACACTCCAATCTTCAGTCGGGGCATAGAAATTGTACGCGTAAACATTTATCTACCATCACAGCGACTGGCTTGATTAAACTGATATTTTTTTAATGTTTTCTTATTATTACCTTAATAATTCAATTATCATACTTCTCATATATATTATCATCTTGTGGGCTGCAGTTAAAATATTATAGAGGTAGACAATAGGTCCAGGGATATTAAACTGATCCCAGTGGAAATAAAATGAAGGACCCCAAATTAGTAAGTTTATATAGGTACAATCTTACAAAAATTTTGGATGCTTGTAACTGTCTCACATTCAAATTCAAATTCAAAGTTTATTCTCTATAAGGATTACAATGCTGAGTTTACAGAAATTTGGTTATTGTTTGGTTTACATGTAGTAAAATTGTGATTACAGAGTGTACCACTAGAACGCCTAGCATGGCTAGGCATTTCGGGCATACTTAGTTTTATTCTTAATTGTAAAATATTGCAAATTATGAGGTAAGTTGGTATTATGGCTAAGTGACTAAATACTAGTTTGTGAGTTTAGCAATGTGAATGCTTTTGTTTTGGCACAGTACATAGTTTCAGTATTGGAGTATCACAGGATTCATTATTTTAAGATTGAGATTAATATTTCTGTTTATGGTCAAATGAGTGAGTGAGTGTAAGTGTGAACCACCAGGTGGTATTCGTGTAGATAGTTGATGGGGTGTATCAGGGAGATAAGATGTTTTCTAGTGGTAGTTTTGAAGGTGATAAATGTGTCTGCAGTTCTAGAGTTCTCAGGTAGGGTATTCCAGATTTTAGGGCCTTTGGCATACATTGAATTTTTGTAAAGGTTTAGTCGGACACGGGGAATGTCGTAGAGATGTTTGTGTCTGGTGTTATGCCTGTGGGTTCTGTCACAACTATCAAGAAAGCGTTTTAGGTCAAGGTTGATATTAGAGTTTAAGGCCCTGTGGATGTAGATTGCACAGAAGTAAGTGTGGATGTACTGAACTGGGAGTAAGTTTAGGGGCTATGAAGAGTGGGGGGGTGTGTTGCCAGGGATGAGATTTAGTGATTATTCTTACTGCAGCTTTTTGTTGGGTTATTATTGGCTTTAGGTGAGTTGTGCAGTTGACCCAACACAAATCATAGGTGGGGTATGGATAAATAATGAGTGGTATAGTGGAGAAGGGCATTTTTCGGCACGTAGTACGTTCTTGGAGAGACCCAACCGTTTTGGATACTTTTTTGGTTAATGGGATTGGTCGAAATTCGGTTGTTGTCAAGGAAAAAGCCTAGGAATTTGCCCCCATTTTTTTCGGGGTAATTTAGAGGTTGTCAATCTTAATTTTAAATTTGTGCTTCTCCGCTCTGCTACCAAACATATATAGAGGTTTTGTCATTTTAAGCGTAAGTTTATTGGCTGCATCCAAGTCGATATTTTAATCACTCCTTTTTCCAATGGTTTAGGGGGAAAGATTAGGGGAGAAAAATAAGTCGTGCCATCAAAAAGAGAATGGGTTTCAGGTTTTGGGGATACTTTTGGGAAAGATCATGATGTATAGAGGAAGAGGGGGGGACCAAAGGACATTTCCCTGCGGAACCCAGTATATTTGGCCGTGTTGCTGATGCTGTGTCTTTAATGGGACATACTGAACCAATTATAATGTAAGTTTTGAATAAGCAAGCGCGGCCTCTTTTCCGTAATGATCAAGTTTGGGAGTGGATGTCGTGGTCTACTTGTCAAAAGTTTTTCTTGGGGTCAATAAAAATTCCTAGTGCTTTTCCCTTTATTTTCCAATGCTGTGTAAAGCAAACTAGCATTTTTAATTGCATCATTAGTCTTTTATTTTTCCTAATCCAAATTGGCGGGGTTTTTGAGTATGTTGACCGTTTAAAAGAAAACATCTCCCGTGCACGATTTCTCAAAGTTTTGGATAGCAATGGTAATTAGATATGGCCATAGTTGTTTAAGTCTGTAGGGGCCCCACCCTTTTTGTATTTTGTAACCCTTGCCACTTGATTTTATACCAGTTACAAAGTTAATAGTAAATCGTCAATCAACAATTTTTACACAATAACATTTACATACAACAATTATGTAACCAAACAAAGCCCCTCATCCACTTCATCCCGTTCTTCCATCTTTCCCCAAATTCCCCCTAAAAACTGGGTTACTCACTTTATCAGCCTTTTTTAGATCCCAGTGGGGATATAACTTGTGAAAACTTATTACTACCACTAGGTAGAAATTTTTCTTTTTGCCACCTCCCTTTTTTAAGAACGAAAAAAATTTGTTGAGTTAGGATAAGATTAACAAATGGGCGTATACACTGCAAAAGAATTGTTTGCAAACCCAATGGCATAAAAACTAACCTATACACTGAGCTTTACTTTATCATAAAACGATTCTTGTCATATTTTGGGGCCCTTTACTCATAAATGACTCCAACAACAAGCCATTGGGAAACCCGGTATAGATACTCAAAAATTAGGGGCAAAGGAATTTTTTACAAATTTCTATGGGTCCCATCACACATTCAAATTTTTTTCTCTAAAGGATTACAAAGCTGAGTTTTTCGAAATTTGGGTTTTTGTTTGGTTTTCTGTAGTAAAAATTTTGATTACGAGTGTACCACTAGAACGTTTGCAGGGTACATTTTGGGCAAAACTTTGTTATATTTTTAATTTTAAAAAAATTACAAAATTTTGAGGTAAATTGGGATTATGGCTGGGGTTTTGATGAAAACAGGCCTTTTCTCTGGCTTTATTTAACAAGAATCTTCATAGTACTTCTGCAACAAAAAAATTAAAAGAAGTACATCTAATAATGGCTTTAAGGATGG